AGGGTGGCATTTAAACCTACAAACTCACTCAGGGACAAGCTCTGTAGGTTAAAGGACTAGTGGACCCAATTAGACAAAATAATATAATTTACAAAATACCCTGCAATGACTGTGAGGTCAACTACATAGGTCAAACTAGTAGGTCAGGGGTAGTCAGATTGTCAGAACATAAGAATTTAGTTAAGGTAAGAATGGTTGACCCAGAGAAGATAAGTAATTTAGAAAAAAGCTCGGCAATTGTAATGCATGCATTAACACACAACCACACAATAGGGTGGGAGAGGGTTAAAATTCTAAAAAGTAATCTAGGTAGGTGGAGAGAGAGGTTGATTACTGAATCTTTGTTCATCGAATCTTCACCTAACAAATGCAATAGGAATGAATCATCACTCATACCTGAAATATGGAAAATAATACTACCAATCAAATCAAGTGAAAATCAAGTGTAAAACAATGGAACTATATAAATGAATTTAGGAAGTCGTGTGATTACCTTGATATGATTATGAGCAATAAATTGTGCTCGAAACGTCATCAGTAAATATTACTGTATAACACTGTGAGACTCTATCAAAATAAAAATTTACCCATAATGGAATTACATTCTACCACAGTGCCCAAGTTTTATTCTTATATCAAAGATTAAGGGTAATCTCAGTTAGTTTTGACAACAACATATTGGCATATCGGTAGCAAAGCCAAAAGTGAACAGAATGTTTGAAGATGTTAGAAAAGTAGATATTAGCATATTTACTGGCGTAAGCGGTGACAAAAGGATCGAGATATACAGAGTGTGAAAGAACGAAGAAGAATGTTTTAAGTAGAGTTTGTAAAAAAAAAGGAAAGGAAAGAAAGAAAGAAAACGGTGTACCTATAAATGATATGAGTTGGAAAGACGAGATCCAGTTGTTCTACTGACTATTCAATAAGGTATAAGTTTCACGCCTAATGCTTTCTTTATCGCACAGAACACGAGCTAGGTAGAGTATGGTTGAGTTTTTGTACTTGCTAGTGCGAGCATATAGTTTTCTATATAGGCTTCTTGTGCTTCCTGATGAGATGCAAGGGGAGAGTTGTGAATGAAGAAGGTGGTGTGAGTTAAATAGAATGGATTTGGCCCATTTTTCACATGAGTCCAAATGCCTACCAGCCAGAATATTAACAAGCTGGTTAAGTTGACGTATAATTTTTTTCGGTTTGTATTATTTGTTTTCTGTCCGACTGCAGCATGGGACTTTAAGTTTGAGCTTTGAATTTTTTCTAATGTATTTGCTAGCTTAATGCCAAAATTCCATCTTCACTGGGTGTACTACCGGTTTATTGAAGTTTTCGAATATGTTGGTCGGGGATTGAATCCCCCAACGACGCGAAGAGTGCTTGGCGAGCAGTCTGCCACTGAAACAACAGCTCACCGACCAAATAAATGGTATCTTATATTTACATTATACGTTTCTGTTGGGATTTGGATTAATATCAGTGTAAATTTTATCAGAGACTAGCATCAATTAGAGAATCATTGAAGAAGACCAGAGAACACCAGAAACCTGTTTCATCCTAGTTTCGGAATTACTCTTTAGCAGTACAACCCCACGACTATATCATCTGGGGATAACACTGTATTACGAATTGACAGAAGTTTGGAATTCATGAGCCAGTGAATCCTAACAAAACAAGTTACTAAATGGTTGACTATCTTGGCCCAAGTTCTACCTCTAGTAGCGTCGTATTTGTGAACTATTAAAAAAATCTCGAGTTTTCAACGATCTCTAACTGACTAGCCGTGAAATCTGTACAGTTTATAGAAAAAACACTGTCTAGAATAAAGCTATTATTATATTTCTATTAGACTATTTGAACACTGGACGCATGTTTGGCTCGTCCGGAGCAGAGCTTATCAGAGGTGTACTCAGTTTGAGTGATGATGTTCTCACCGAGGCTCGAATCCAGTGCACATAGTTTCAAACGCCAAAACGTTATCCACTAGACCACTTGGGCCACGACAGCCACCTCTTGTGCAATGGGTTCAACTAATTATTTAATTGAATTTTGGATTTTCCCTTCGATTGATTGGACCGAGGTGGCTCTCGTGGCCCAATCGGTCCAGTGAATAACGCTTCGGTGTTTGATACCATGGTCACTGGGTTCGAGCGTCGATGGGAACATCATCACTCACTGCGGAATGCGGGTACATCCAGTTACTGATGAGTCCAAAAAATGACGAAATGCGCATGCATGATTCCACTGCTAGTCACCATCCATCAAATTACATGCCCAGACATCGTCGAAGCATCTGCACAACAAGCCGACATGTCAACCTGAGCCGCATCATTGGCTATTACTGCAATGATAAGTGATACTTTATTTTACAGCTGTAACGACCTGAAAAGAATTTATTTAAAAGAAAAGTCTTCACTATTCAGATCAACTTTTAATTCATGATATGAGAATATTTCATATTGAAAAATCGTATTACTTGTGCACCTTTGACTGAGTAGAAAAGGTAATAAATATCGAAGATACCCAACCCAATTTCTGAGTTCAGAAAAAGTTTGTTCAATCCTCCTGACTCCCTCCAGGTGACATCAGATAACTACATATTATTTTTATTTGTACCTCTGTGTTTATTTTAGTTTTGGATTCAGAATTTATTAAATAAATTGCTTAAGATAGAACGGTTATTCCTCCTTTATACCCATAAAAATATCCTCTAAAATATAAGTCTGAACTTTATCACATTGGTATAAAATGCAGTCTATGCTTAATAATTATATAATTTCTATAGAGAAAGAAAGACCAGATTTGCAATATAAAATGATATCATTCTATTCAACAGGTTCACACAGACAGAAAACAGGAAAATCTAATAAACAGTGTTAGCTTGTCCGTCAACATGCCAACTCAAGAAGGTTAAAGTTCATCAAGTTGTAAACATGCTTAGTGAGCTGAGCTCACTAAAGTGCATGACTAATCAGTGTAATGAAAGTAATACTGTTACCAAGAGAGTGAGAGATTGACTTCATCCTCTGTCTGTGTGCATAAGTTTGGTCTGAAACGTTTAATTGCAATCGCTTCAGCAAACTGTAGTGGATTCGCTGTCATTTGTATGTTTAATATTTTGAAGGATTTGGAAATCTCAACAAAAAGACCCATATCTCTTGATCGCACTTTGTAAAAATCTGCTTCCTTTTAAGCATAAGTTTCTCGGAATATGCTCTGAAAACCGGATAGAAGTCCTTCTTCCTGTCCTTTCAATGTACTTGCTGCCGTAGGTGCACGTAAATTTATAAATGCAGTTGTAGGTAACATCAACAGGGTACTTATCCAGTTTCGATTGGCTTATAGAGCATGTAATGCTGTATAGTGTCACTAGCTTAGCTGCAGAGAAGTATCTTTTCATTGCTCCTTTCATCCACTTGTCAATCTTTTGTGATACTGCTTCTCCTTTGAACAGGAGACGAATGAACACTTTCTTCTTTCGAACTGTTGGATACTTCGCTTTCTCATCTCTCTGTCTGCTGTATTTTAGGATAAATCCCTTTGGATACCCGTTTTCCTTTAAGCATTTTTTAAAAGAGCCTAATTCTTCTTCTACCTTGCTGGGTGAACATAACTTCCTGGCTCTGTCGTAATTGTAAAGCCCAAAAACACATATTTCCTTGGATTATATTCTCTCATTATCATCACAATAAGCATCATTGGTTCAAAGGTAGAGTACACATCGACCACATCTCATTAGGTCCGGGGTCCGATTCCCGAATGAGGTACTCCTAAGCCTCGCTTGTCCAACAGAAAGCCAAGTAAAGAGGAGAGGTTAGGCAAGAGGCGACAAACTACATGCTGCAGAATAATAATAAAAACATCTTTATTCTGGACTGTAATTTTATAATATACAGAATTTTCAGAGGAGTTTATTGCATGATATTTTCCCGTCGTACAATATCTTCAAGTAAAATATTAATTGACAGCATATCCTGTGTGTGACACAATGGTCTCTGAGCTGATGAAGCACTGCTCTGTCCCCTTCATGAAATCCGCTTACAATATCTAGTTGAAAGCCAATTGTGAGATGTTCAGTAATACATTTTGAGACTCGAGGACGTAACTGCAGAACAGTTATTTTATGTATTGGGAGACGTTGCCACCCACAATCAGGCCATTCCTCAAGTTTAGTAGGAACTTGAGAATCAGTAGCTTATAAACATTTTAAATATACTCAAGAGTAGATAATACCATTGGAGGTCATATCTTAATCGAGTAAAACAAACCGAACGAGAGGAAACAATGGAAGCTTTTTGTCAGCCCAAGTTTTAAGCTGGCCGCCAAACAACTCCATAGCTACTAAAACTTCAAAGCATAAGATTTGAAACCCTATTATCCGGTGAAAATGCAAAATGCACGAGGATGAAGAGTAATCACAATAAAAATATTTAGAATATGGAATTTGTGGGGATTTGGATTAACTCTAAATTCTACTGCTGAATTTCGTCATAAATCATTATCATTTAGAAAGATTACTGAAAACCACCAAGGAGCACTGAACAGCTGTTTCGACCTTGTCGAGGATACTCTTCAGTAGTGCGCGGCCACAAACCTACCAGCAAGAGATCGAACATCCGGAACTTCAAATTAAGAGATGAAGCTTATTGGTCAACCAACCACTTGGCCCAGGATTCAACAACCCGAGAATTCTAACTTTGTCAGCCAATGATACAGCGCAATCCTCATTAGTGTATTTTATATGAGCAAACACATAAACTTTGCTAAGTAAGAAAGTCACCATTCATTAAATCCTGGGTGAAATGACTGAACTGTCACCAATCTTGGTAGTATAACCTGGAGGTTCCGAGATCGATCCTTGTTAGGGGATGGTAGGTTCGCATCTCTGAAATATACTAAACCAGTCGGAAACTGCCGTCTTTGTAAATTGCTGTAATGGCTTTCATACTACTCATAAGTAATATAAACATATCGAGCATATTTAAAAAACAGAGATGACTCACTTTTAAAATAATCACTCTCATTCTTATACATTTCCATGCACGTGAAGACGTATAAATCCATGTTGAAAGGTTCTTAAATTATTATTTTTTGTCAATTAATTTATTTCGGTTAATTGAATAAAATTATTTGGGAAATTCGGACAATAATAATGATCAAAATGTGGTTATTCCATTATTAATTAATATTATGTATCTTCCTCAGAAATTTGTAGTTATCCTTAAGTTAAAGTAAAATTCCGAACTGATAAAATGAATAGTGTTCACATTAACACTAAAAAAATGCTTCTTCTCATAATAAACCACACAAGTTTCATTCCCAATTGTGTTTGAAAGAGAATTTCGAAAATGCATGAGGCTTCAGTAAAAGTGCACATCCAATTATATTCATGCTTTATTTTGATTGGTTGTTCAGTAAGACTCGGATTTTGATTGGTTGAATTCTTAGAGAGTGCTGTGTGAGCAAGTGTTAATGTTAATTATAATAAAGGCTATTTGTATTTTCCAATGAATGAAAAACAAAACGATATTGTTTTAACTGACGTTTCGCTATTTAATGCGAATAGCTTTATCAAAGTATTATTAAAACGGAATTTTCAAAATCTCAGCATATATATAACAGTTAGAGAACCATTGAAGACCAGGGAGTACTGGACAGCTGCTGTTTCATCCTAGTTTGGGAATCAGTGAGGTCCAATTAGAAGTCACGTGTGGATGGATTTCCACCAACGACAATAGTTGGGGTCGCGCTAAAATCACGAATTGGTAGAAGTTAGAATTCATGAGCCATTGAATCGGGTCCCAGTGGCTGAATGGTATACGAGCCAGCTTGCCTTGTAACCGGAAGGTTCCGGGTTCGAATCCCAGTGGTGGGTGGGTACTTCCGATGATTCCCAAACTAGGATGAAACAGCAGCTGTCCAGTACTCCCAGCTGGTTTTCAATGGTTCTCTAACTGATATCAGTCCGCGATCAACTCGTAAAACATAACTAATCCTTACAAACCAAACTATATGATATTACAAAATTGTCCTGTCATTAACCATCATGTAATTATTAGTTTTTGTGGTTGATTTTTCTTATTCTTTATTTTTTCTTGGCAAAATTAACTGACAATCTTGGCAATGTTATTTTATGATTGTTTAGAGTTGTTTCAACCAAATTAACTGATCATCTTGCAATAAACATTCTTAAATATCTTTTCATAACTTCTTGTATGACTACAGCTTTACTGTCACCATGCATAATCATATCATAGCTTCCACTACCCAATACTGAGATATTATTTATTATGTTGTTTATTTTCCTTTCTACTTCTTGGTATTTTTTCGCATTTTTTTCTAGTATTTTTCTGTTTTTCTGTTTTTTTGTTGTTGTTGTCTTTATATTTATTTTTTTTGAAATACTCTTTTTAAATGTTTGATTAAATTAGATGCAAATATTGTAGATATGTGCTGAAAATTCCACACAGTACCACTACTACCGTTTGTGGAATAAAGCAAATTATTATTATTGTCATCGGTAGTAAGCACCAACTGCCGAGGTTCGAACCCACGACCTTCCGGTTACAAGGCAAGCTCGTATACCATTCAGCCACGAATTAGAAAAAAACAAACACACTGAAAGGAAGTCAATAGAAATCAACAAGATTGTTATTTTGATAGTAGAAGTGGTTGAACAATATTCTTTTCGGTTCACAGCTCTCGTTTGTCTATTTGATGAATGTCTAAGGCTTCAGAAATGCAAAGAAGACGAAAACGTATTGTCTTTGACAAGTTGTTCCTCACTTTGTAGATTACTTTGCAGAAGGCGTTTGTTGAGATGGAGCGACCAGTGTTGACAAGGTGTTCAATAATTGCACCCCCTATAGAGTGACACTACAGCCTTTCTGCAACCATGCCGGATAGTGCTGTTGAACCCTTTTAGGCAGAATACGCATCAAACCTGACTCCACGGATGCATGTGAATTCAAAATCTGCATATAGGAGTGGTCAGATGAGAGATCTTATCCTTACAGCTTCTGCAAAGCAATGGACGACTAGAGAACACTACTCTTATCGTTACTGTGAAGAATGTTCTTCTCAAAGATGTTGGAATTCTTCTCTTACAGACATTACAGGTCAATTCTCCGTAAAATCCAGGTCAATGTAAAGTTTATTTTTTAGAACAAGTAGTGTTTCGCTTCTCTTAACTTCTGGTTTGATATTTTTGTCAATGAATCTCCATGGGTATTATCCATCCTGGATGAAGCTTCCTTTCAGAAGGTTTAGTCTTGTTTCTACGACATAGAGGCAACAGACTCATTTCATGTGAGTGGTAAGGGATTTAATTACACTTCATTTTTGTACAACAGATGTTTGGAAGCTATCAGCAGGAAGTCTTGCCAGACCTAAGTTTCGTGCTTGCTGGCACTCATCAGTCAGCAAGGCCTATCTGCAGTCTTGAAGAAGCACATTTCTCCTCTGAGATTCGAAGATGGGTTACCTAACTGCTATAGCTAGAGACTTTTCCTCCGAGGTATTGCGGCTTGGGCGATCGACGACTTCCAGTAGGAATGTAATGGTTACTTTGATTGGACATTAAGTAGTAAGTCTGATGCAAACTGAATTCTATCACTCAGTCTGCACCAAACAAAGGACCAGATAGATGATATTAGTTACCAGCTAGCATTCAATTATTGAAAACAATTTTCCAAACAGTGCTTTATTTTAAAAGACAGACTAGTGAATAAAGAATATTCTTTTCAATAACTTTGTCATCATTAGGCTCTACAGTTATTATTATTGTTCCCTTGGGTTCCTAGTGGAACATAGGGCTTCAACTGAACGTCTCCACTTGCTTCTGTCTTCTGATGTACTTTTCACCCGCTTCCATGTTAGTCCATACTGTTTCAACTCCTCTTCACACGATCTCCTCCATGTCACCCTTGCATCGACGAACCACTCGCCGCTTCCCTTCTGGGTTCCGCTCGAGGGTCTGACACGAGATGTCACCCAGCAGCCTCCTCAGCGAGTGTCCAATCCATCTCCACTTTCTCCTGCATATTTGTTGAGCGATTGGTTCTTGTTTTGTTTGGTCCCATAGTTTCTTGTTGGTGATCCTTTCCGGCCATCTGATCATGAGTATAAAACGGAGAGAGTTGTTGATAAAGGTCTGCAACAGGCTGTTGGAAATATTCTTTGTGACACACTGGCCAAGTTTCTGATCCGAACGTATAGAAGAACTGACTGACTTGACGTTTGTATTGAAAATCCGAATTTTGTTGTTGATGCAGGCTGAGTGACGAAGATTTCCAGATTGGTTTCAGGTTGATGAATGTGTTTCTCGCCTTCCCGATTCTCGATTTGACATCGTCGTCCGTTCCTGGTGTAGTTGAGACAATGCTCCCTAGATAAGTGAATGAAGTAACCTTTTTTCAAATCCCTCCCGTTGATGGTGATTGGCACATAGTGATTCCCATTTTATTTCTGATATTTAGATACTACGCCTATGCTTTATGAAAACTGATCTGGACACCGGGGTAATAATATCTCAATCCAATGAAGTACATTCACTTATCAAATTCATGTGTGAAGAAGAGATTCAAAGTAAAATTGCCTTTTTTGCCACCCTACTAACAAGAAAACTAGACTTTCTAATAAAAAAATGAATTTGCATAAGATAGGTACCTGAACAGGTCAATCTACACACTTTCACAACTTCATTCCTTTCCGGCATAAAAACATTTGGTGAAAACCCTCAGCTATAGGGTCAGAAGACGAACCATTAGTTGTATTTGAAACGTTCATGACAAAAATAAATGGCCAAGAGATTTTTAAAGAATTCTTCTGTAAACGGGAACGATAGTGATTTGTCATATGAAATAGTAATCGACAAGATGAGAAAATCGATTCAGATAACGTTGACACCAGCTTATATTCCCCACACAACTGTTTGCGATTCCTTAACCGAAAGACGAAGTTGTTAGGCTAGCCACCTCTTATTGCATATATCAACTCAACTGCTCTTGTGCAGTCACCTATAATAGCCGCTACCTCTAGAAACTTCATTTTTCGTGCTTGAGAACACCTATCAGTGTGGCTAAACGAAGGTGTTGTTAAGATTATCAACAGTTCTATATTAGAACACCTCATCCAAACAGATCCACAAAGCCAGAATTATCACTGAGAACGATTTTGAGCCATATTACCAACTGTCTGAAGCCAATGGTCCTTCAAATTCCAAGAACCCCAACCAGGTAGTCGATATATCCCTACATGGCTCAAACTAATTGTCAACGATTTCGTGAACTAATGCCAAGTTTCGGTCTGACCAGCAATAACTCTTCTCCAACCTGATCCTTTGTCAGCTAGGATTTTCTATCGATAAAGACGATAGCTAGACAAGCGTAACATCTGTCCTGGCCCCATCAATTGACTTTCCCTTCCTAACGAACACTTGACACCCAATCCCAATACTAATCACCATATTATACCACCTAAAACCGGAAACAGAATGCAGACACTGATGTCTGAAAGTCAGTCTGCTAGTCACTGTTGTCATATTGTTGTGTAATAATGAATAACAGAATATTAGCTGTATTAATCCCTCTCTCTCTCTCCTGACAGAGAAAACAATTTCGCTTGATTTCCTTTGGGATTACAACACATTTGATTGTAAATAGATAATATTTTAACATATGTATGTCTTTTTTTATGCCATTTCACGTTTTTATCGATAAACAGACTGATAGTCATTTGTTTTGTCTTTTGACATAAATATGACATTTAGTTAACAGTTATCTTACAAAAAAATTAGTTTTCATATTTAAAACACTTGCCATCTCCACGAATTTCGTCACAGTCGAATTCATATTGACTGCAAATATACCTCCTGTATTTGAGTACTTATTCATTTGGTGCTTTGTACTACTGATTTGACTGATATAAGTAGTAGTATATCACCCATATCGACCAGTAGTGATTGCTAGGCAGAGTGAAGTGATCTAAAAACGGGATGGCCATTTTGGTTCTTTTAAGCACCCGGATGATCGGAAGTGCACCCGAATTGACGCAGCTCAGAGAGCCACAGTGGCTAACTAATAGGATGGAGTGTTAATACTTTGAATTAAATT